CCCCATTGTGAACCGAGCCAGATAGACGAGAATGATGCTGTCAGTATACTTTTATCTAAATACGTTTGATTCAATTTTACATGGATGGCAAAGGTCGTGTTCCTAAGTAAAGAGATCACATCCCGTTAGTCGTCGCACAAAATAAAATAATGTCCCCCCCCCCATTCCCACTAGTCACCACCGACACCGAACACAGCGTGACCCGCCACAGCGCTCTCCCGTTCCCGTCCCCCGACTACCCCCTAATTCAGTGCCACCCTGTCCCTCCTGCAGCGTCCATGGTGCTCGCTGCGCTGACATCTCCATTTCTGTCGGCCATTTTCCTACCGACTCCGACCCGGGCCCGGCCCTGTCGCACTGGGCAGTGCACGATCACTAACAACCGGCGTCGCACGCACAAAAAGCTCTCTCCGAGAGCGGGGGCGGGGGCGGGGGCGGGTCCCGAGGCCCGGCCGGCGCCCGCCGCCCGCCAACGGCCGCGCCGGGCCGGTTTTTGTGGGGACATGCGGCGGCGCGGGACGGACGGTCCGTCCGGTGTCAGCCGGGTGGTCAGACGTCCGACCGGCGACGGCTGGCCAGCAGCGGACAACGAGATCGACGGCGAGAGGGAGAGAGAGAGAGAGAGAGAGAGAGAGAGAGAGAGAGAGAGAGAGAGAGAGAGAGAGAGAGAGAGAGAGAGAGAGAGAGAGAGAGAGAGAGAGAGAGAGAGAGAGAGAGAGAGACCCCACGCCCCACCGAGAGTCATCAGCCGATGTGAGAAGCTCGTGCTCCGAGATCGTGTCCGAGTTGGACAACCGATGCGAGCTTTTCATTCGCGGCTCGTAAAACGGAGAGTAATGTTGGCTACACCTTGATTAACCTTCATCGCTTCATGGGGCCTGCGAGAATTTACATAATGTCCCGTAATTCGATACCGATGGAGCGGCGTGAGGGCATAAGACGGAGCCATCGCGCAGCTCATGAACATAATTCTGTGAGTCGCGTTTTTCAGTCGGCTCGAGTGTGCGAGCCCGCGCACCGGCCGTGTGGCGGCGGTTGCTCCGGTCGCGGCGTCGAAGCGGTGTCCTCCCTCCTCTCTCCCCTCTCCCCGAGGTGCGCAGCCGTCGGCACCCCCACCAGTCGTCGGCTCCGTCGCCTCAAACGGCAGAGCGGCGGCGACGACGACCAGCGCTCCCATAAATCTGCATGTTTCAATTTCCCTTGCATGTGTCTGACTTTAAACGCTTGTAAATCACGTCAAGTGACATTGGCAACACTGGCAGCACCTAGCGAATAAGACCGCGGACTGGTTTAAGGCGAGGATTTAATTCAATTGCCAGCTGTTTGATAAACGCAGCTGCGGCAAAATTATTGGACCGCCACTAAACTGCAGATTGTGACTTTCCGGAAAGGGTTGATAACAAGCCATATTTCAGCCCCTCGGTGGCTTTAACGGTACAATATGGCCCATTTCTATTCAAACAAACCCAATAATATGGAAGGAGTCAGATTCCAATCCTTACACTCAATAAATTCGTCCAATGGGCGCTGTCGTTGATAAGTGTGCGGCGCCGGAATTGAGTTCTTCGAGGCGGCGAGTTCCAGCGAAATATGCCCGCTATCGAGCAAAATGGAAATAACCCGACTGGAATCCCATAAAGGCGGGAAACAAACGAAGCCAATATCCATTTTTCATAATGTTATCATTCAATGCAGATGGGCGGCGGGTATAATAACGGTTCGAAGGTCCAATCTCGCTCCAAACGGGTTGACGCCGACGGAATAAAGGCCGCTAACAGCCGTGAAACACATTGGCCGCCGGCGCCGGCCGTGCCGCAGGGGTGCCCCCCCCCCCCTGAACCGGCCCCTCCCCGGCGGGGGGGGGGATGGGCGGGGCCGGGCGGAGACAGCACGATGGGCCATGTCGCCAGGGACACTGAGCAGGGCCATTGGATGTGTTGCCATGGAGATTGAACGTCGCGAGAATTCCAGCGACAGGCTCTGACTTTAGCTCAACCATCTCGAGAAACGGTTTAGGAAGTTAACTTTTTACGCACCGCGACCCGTGTAATGATAGTCTCACGTTGTTCCGAGGTGTCTCGAATCTGGACTGAATATGGGTTGGGTCAGCGCCACGAAACCTGGCCTAGCTTATTGACCGCTGCAAAGGCAATACCCAAATAAACGTCTTACGTCATGTCATTAATTTTACATCGTGGGTAAAAAATTTGACCCCAGGTCGTCTAAGGTCAGGTCAACAGGTCAATTTAAGTAGCAATGCCCGTTAATTTTTTTGCGATCCTCTCATTCTTCTGCTTATCTTCTAGAACTCCGAAACTCGGGCAATGGCATTATAGGTGTACATAAACACCAAAAAATTGTATTTCTTTTCTCGTACCTACCTATTTTATTTAATCTGTGAACTAGGGTCAGGTCAGATTTGTAACCTCATCATTATGTACAAGACAATGGGGAAAAGTACAAATGCCTCCTGGTTTGAAAATACGCGTCAAAACCACAAGATATTTATTGAAACATGATCATACTACCCATATGCAATGGAAAGGGCGCAGCTGTATGTCAGCGGTCACTCAAAAGGCCATGCTAGATCATGTACGGTCATCAACAATTTTTTTTTCGACGATGACTTTTGAAGGAAATAGGTAGGTACTAACTTTCGCCAAATATGCGAAACGGGTTGGTCAATGGTCATAGGTATACCACTTGATGCGGTAACACGAGTGGTCCAACAGAAATCAGACGAGGGCGGTCATCTGAGACAGACGGTATCATATTCCGTGTGTACCGTCCCAGATCGCCACTCTTTCCCTGGACAATAATAGACCACCCACCCCTAGATCCCACCAATGAGTCTAACTGAGCTCGGACGTCGACAGAGGTCACAATCAGTGGCAGACGGACGGCACTTGGACCGTATGGACAGTATCGGAATCAATGATACTCGGGCTCTGCCTAACGCGATTGTCTGTCATATTGGCTGTCGCCGTGTCGTCTGTTATGGACGGAGGGGGGAGGGGAGGGGGCGACGCTGGAACCAGTAACCGATCGAGAATGCCTACTAGCCCAAACTACCATCATAACGTACACCATCAGTCTAAATGCAGTGTGTAGTCACTCGTGGCCGCCATAGGTAAGCATGAGCCGATACCGACGAGACAATATCCGAATAGTGTCTGTTGGTACACTATGGAGACAATGTCTCAACTTCCCAAACAGAAGGACTGCTAAAAAGGTTCAATTAAATGGTATATTTCACATTTTAAATACGCATCACATACCCGATACGATCAGCTTACATGACATGATAATGGAGGTACAACTATTCTATTCAGTGACAATAACTGAATATCACATAATGCATTGCGATACGATAACACAAGTCATCCTCCCTCCCGTATAGCGTCAAACGGATATCACAAGATATCCCGTATATCGCTAACCAGCACTCCTGATAGAGGTGCGTTACATCGGCCACATCAAAGCAGATGCCAGGCGCCGATACATCGAAACGGCAATGAAAAACGTTATTAACCTATAATACCGCATTAAATTAAGTGTCCCTGATGAAGCGATGCATTCACCAGTACTCATCAAACACGATTGAATAAGGGCGACATATTTGGGGAATATGTAGCACATAAAATGGATATGTTGCGGGCCAAGTGCGAAGGCTAGTCCATTCGCGAATGGCCTAGTCCAAGTGCGATAACGCACTTGGACTAGGCCGTTTGCGAATAGACTAGTCCATGTGCGTTATTGCAGTTGGACTAGGCCGTTTGCGAATGGACGGGCGTTTATGCTCCCAGTCCAAGTGCGAAGTCAGGCCAAGTGCGAAATATCCAGCAAAGTGATGTCAACTTGGCAAGTCAACTTGGCATGTGCAAAGTCCCGTGTGAAATGATGCGTGCAAACTGCAGGGCTGCGGAGTCGATGGATTTTCGGCGACTCCGACTCCGACTCCGACTCCGGCTTTAAAAAACCAGCTCCAACTCCGACTCCGACTCCGACTCCGGCTCGGGTTTCTAAAATCGACTCCGACTCCGACTCCGGTCACAACTGTCGACTCCGACCGACTCCGACTCCGACTCCGACTCCGACTCCGCAGCCCTGGTGCAAAGTATTGGTAACTCAACCGGAAAATGCTTACATGAATCGAGTGCCACAAACTCGACCAAGGTCAGGTCGGGTCATCAGCGGGGAGCCCGGAGCACGGTACTAATGGTCTCCGCACACCACGCGACTCTACGCTGTTCGAAGGTCACGGGGATATTTGACCTCCCCAGATCCAGATCGGTGGCCGAAGCCTGGCCAGCGGCAACACGTTGCTATAATTTCCGCGTTGTGCAGGGTTCAGCGGAAAGTCGCATCCCGAATGGACCAGGTGTGTGGAGACCTTAACCCAGAGTTGCGCCAGCTCGCAGATCTGCTCCGGAGAACAAACTAAACATATAGACGCAGTGGCGTCGCCACGGATTTTCGACTAGGGGATCTGGTCGGACGGTCAGTCAAAGTAATCCCCACCAAATACTGAAAACTCCTCGGATTTAGACAATTTTATTTTGAGAATGCACCAAAATCGTTTTTAAAATATTTATTTTATTCTTGATCGATTTTCGTGGCCAAAAGTGTGTGTGTGGGGGGAGGGGGGGGGGGGGCGTCGGACCGGCATATTTTCAAGAATGTGTGTGTGTGTGGGGGGGGGGGGGGCCGGACCCCTCCGACCCCCCCCCCGTCGGCGATGCCCCTGCATCGACCAGCGGTCCCCCATTCATTCGGAATCGTACCCCAATCCGAGGATCCATGCTTCCGGCGGCTAAGTGCAACGCCACAAACCCGTCCGTTCGCAAACGGCCTAGGCCATTCGCGAATGGCCGACCATTCGCAAACGGACTAGTCCGTTTGCAAACGGACCGCCATTCGCAAACGGCCTAGTCCATTCGCGAATGGACTAGTCCGTTCGCAAACGGACTAGCCTTCGCACTTGGCCCGTAACAGATACATAATTCCCACGAACGCTAACGGTCCACCAGCCTCAATGAAGTACAATGATATGATATGAGAGAATAACTTTGACGAACGAGGGCCCGGAAAAAATCCCAAAAATTCGTTCATACAGGGCCGAGAATTTAAATATGCAAGCATATAAACATAAACTAGATAAGCTTATGTTATCGCGGATCGGGACTACAAAAGGAGAACAAAGTGCTGTGCCACCTGTCACACCTGCATGACCTTACAACTCTTCGTGTTTGGAAACCACTATACCAGTAATTGTATACAAGGCAAATCATTCAAAACTGTAAGAGCTTCGTTAAATAAATTGGTTTCGATGTTCATCCTTCCACTGAGCGTCGCATACACCTTTGGCCCAAAACAAGTGGCAGATCACGCACCTGGCGACACCTACATATATCGTGTTTATCTGACCGGCGCACAGATGGCGCTGGCTACACGCTGTAGAGCTGACCGGTGACCGGACAGCGCCGAGGGTTGGCCGCGCAGCCCGGGTGCACCGTCACTCCGTTGGGGTAGACGGACAGAGCTTCGGCCGAGAGCGCCTTGTGACACACTGGACAGTACCTGTGGGCAACAGAGTGGAAGTCGCAAACACACACAATTATTACCTCGCCAGTTCGGGAAAGAATCTTGGTGACTACAATACTGAGCTTTGGAAAGGCATTCGACATTAGTCAAAAAAGCTGAGCTGACACAAGCTGGTGAAACATGTCGCTCGATAGAAACACAGTAATCAAAATCAGGACACGCAATCAGCAGAGACCCACTGGACATAATCCATGAGCGACAGACCCCGCTCCCCCAGTCTCCACTCACGCGTTGGCCGGTACGGCCACACTGCGCCGCTGGTGGCGGGTGAGCGCGGCGCGCGCCGTGCTGCTCTCAGCCCTGGCCAGCTGTCGGCTCAGCTGGGCGGCGTGGTGGCGGTGCAGCTGTCGCCGCAGGGCGGCCACCAGGAACGGCGCCACCACGGCCGTCGACCAGCCGTCGGGCAGGGCGGCCAGCGCGCGGCGCGGCTCCAGCTCGGCGGCGCGCGCGCCGCTCAGCAGCGCCAGCGCCGCCGCCACGCTGCCGACACAGACAGGGGGAGGTCAGCAGTAGCACTCAGTAGGGTGGGAGGGTCCGCCGGTCTCAGACAGGTCCGAGACGGTCTGTACGCTCAGTCACACCAATACTGTCAAACTTCAGCAAGAGAAGGAAGAGTCCCTACACTTTGTTTTGTTTTGATTTGAAGCTTCTTACAACGAAAGCTTGGGACTTTCCTCTAAATCAAAGCAACAAACCATATCAGCTTCATCATTCAAAGCCGGAGCTGCCATACTGAGCCGAGAAATGCTGAGCCAGGTCAATGCAGGACAGCTGATTGAGCCGCGTCAGTTCACATATTCTGCTCGAGTCGTGTCCGGTGAGCTCGGGCCCGTCTCGGCACCCACTTGTCGTTCTCTGGCCGTAGGTGGATGTCGAGCAGATGGTGCAGCAGCCGGCGCCGCAGCGCTGAGCCCGACTCGGGCGCCACCTCCAGCACAAAGGTGAGCGCCTCGGCCGGTTCGGCCCGCGCCGCCAGCTCCAGCGCCTTCTCGTACTCACCGGACTGAGCACAGAGGGAGGGGGAGTCAGAGCGGGCGGGCAGGGGGACACAAACATAAAACTAAAAAATAGGGGTAACAGCTCAAACAGATGCCAGTACAGCCCTACCTACCCTGTAGTAGAAATGGTCACTGGGAGCAGTACCAGTACCTACCCTGCAGTACAGGTGTGCCGAGTGGGTGTCCAGCTGCAGTGCCAGCGTCCTGTGCAGCAGGGCGGCCACCCGCAGCGGGGCTCGGGAGCGCAGCAGCGACAGCAGGCGGCTGGCCGGCTCCGCCTCGTCCGAGCCCAGCTGGCGACTCTGGCTGAGCCGGTCCAGGTACAGGCCGCCCAGCTGGGTGGACAGCCACTCCGACTGCGGTCACAGGTCGGGTCAGGTCAGGCCAGGTCACTGAGCCGGTCCAGGTACAGGCCGCCCAGCTGGGTGGACAGCCACTCCGACTGCGGTCACAGGTCGGGTCAGGTCGCTGAGCCGGTCCAGGTACAGGCCGCCCAGCTGGGTGGACACTGGACAGCCACTCCGACTGCGGTCACAGGTCGGGTCAGGTCGGGTCAGGTCGGGTCAGGTCACTGGCAAGGGCTGACATCACGGTTGTTCATTAGTGAATGGGAGAATCACGCACAAGTCATCTAACTAAGATTACTTTTAACCACTGCGATGGATGAACAATGAAAACCTTCACCGATTCCCAAATGCTTTAGAATGTAGCGTGGAAATCTAAGCGGCGTTTATCTGCGGCAACATCCAGAGTGCAGCTTTTACAGTCCACACTGCGGACCGCCTCTCCGCCCGTGGGCGCGCCCCTCTCACCTGCGCCCTTTTGGTGAACACCTGGTACTCCAGGTAGAGTGTCAGCGCGGTCGGGTAGCGTCGGAGGAAGGAGCACACCTCCTCGGAGCTGAACAGCGCCGGCAGCGACTCGGGCCGGCCGGTGAACACCCCAGCTCCCAGCTGCTGGTCCAGCTCCAGCACCGAGTCGGCGAACCGGCGCACCCACACCAGGTCCTCGGCGCTGCGGGGGACATGAACAGTCAGTGGACGGGACTCTGCGCTGTGGGGGACAGAGGCAGTCAGTGGAGGGGCTTTCGGCGCTGTGGGGGACATAGACAGTCAGCGGACGGGGGGACTCTCTGTATCAGAGAGGAGTACAGGGACGGCGGTCAGTTTGGCTAGGGTACGGGGAACAGCTCCCAGGATGCACTGCACTGAGGGATCACGGGTGATTATGAAGAATTGGCCCCGTCCGCTGCCACATACCTTCTGGAAAACACCGGCTCTAACAACACAGCTCGCAGTAGATATACAGACTCAAACTTTAAATATGAACACCCTCGGCCACCATGCACCAGCAATGAGCAGCGGAGGCCGCCGCTGACCTGCCCCGTGCCACCGTCACATCCCCGCTCACCTGGTCAGCGCCTGGACCATGTAGCGGAGTGCGGCGCCGGCGTCCCCCGGCCGGCGGCGCTGCAGCACGCCGTCCCAGAGGGTCAGCGCGGCCTCGCCGTCTCCGGCCAGCAGCTGCAGCTGCCCCAGCTCGGCGGCGAGGCCGGCGCCGGTCAGCGGCTCGCGGCACCGCTCCGGGTCACAGACGGGCCGCTGTTCGGCGATAAAGGAGGCGAGCTCCGGTGGCCGGTCCGCCAGCAGCAGCACCAGACCCGTGTCCACCGCCTGACGGAGGAGAGAGAAGAGAGAGGGGATCAGAGGGGAGAGGGGAGGAGGAAAGAGGACAGCACCACACCCGTGTCCGACATCGGACAGGGAACAATTGGTAGGGCAGGACAGGGCAGGATCAGGCACTTGGCCATGGTCTACATGTGAACTTTGTACTTAAAGGTAGTGTGCCACCTTTGAAAGATTTCCCATTTTATTTTTCCTAGGATAAGAAGCTTCTGTTTTTACCTAATATCGCAAAAAAATCAAAAATGGGCCTGGAATAGTGCCTTTTTCGCCTAAAAGTTTTTCGGTTTTTAGATATGTATAACAACTGTAGTGGGCTCACCTGCAAACAGGCGTCGGGCAACAATCGCGAATGCGGCGCACTTGTGACAATAAGCAAAGGTCATTATAGTGTTACGACCATACGACGTACGGGAATGAGTTATCAGCTGTCTAATCGTAGACAACACAATGTCGAGCCTTAAACTGTAAGCCCGTATTGGTATTGTTTCTTTTATTTGGCTGTCGAACATTATTTATGGTTTGAAATATGATTTTATGTAAAATAATTGATATGAAAAAGCCGTCTTATAAGTTATGACCCCATTTCACCACACGCAAGTGGCAGAAATGACAATGATCAGCTGACGCATTTTTCTTGGCCGAAGTCAGAGCGCGCGGCCCGACGCACCACGCGTATTTGGAAATTCCGACCTCGACGAGCATCAGAAGCCACCTAACAGGCGTGTTCGAAACCGCAGGAGATGATGATGAACGGGTTTATCGAAACTTGATTGGATGAGCATATCGGTAATAGCGATTTCAGTGTGTGCATTTATTGTTCATAGTGGTGTGAAATGTGGTTGGGGTACGACCGACAACCCGTCGGGGCGAATTTCGCACTGGGGTACTCAAAATTTGAAGAATTTAAGACGTTTCCATGAGTTTTGAAGGTATGGATAAGTTCTAAAAATCCGGTTCTCCTTATCTGGGCCATTAACTCCATACGGTCCAAGAAAGCTGGCACACTACCTTTAAGCACTTGCTGACGAAAAAATAGTCGTTGGCAAGGGGCAGTAGAACCACCCACTATCACATGACGATTATTCCAGACATATCAGCCCGATACAGAAGAAGGAAAAGAGACTGGAACTCTTAAGTTGCACTACCTCTGGAAATTATTAATTCACCTCTACCTAAAGAATATACAGGAGAACATTATATAAAAATGGATAAATTCTGGGAACCTGGAGGCAATATTCGCATCCATTACACGCCAGTGACGCTTTCCTGTCCGTTCCGAAGATATGCTAACTACCAGGTCCAGCACACTTACACATTTCGACGGGACTTCTCGGCTGAAATAACGCCATGACATAGGGCAAATCGTCTCGCCTACCGTGCTCAACTGTTTGGTTGTTGATTTCAGCCGCGTTTTTTTTGGCACCAGATTGATTCCGGTCAAGGCAGGACAACGAGCTGGGGGCTCCAAAGGCGCATCAGTGGGCCTGCACCCCACATCTGTGCCGTCGGGCGCGACTCGGGCTTTGCTGCGCACACAGAAGGTGGCCTATCTGGCCCCATCCCGGCCACACCTGGGAACGGCGCCACCCGTCGGCAACTGCACTGCAAAGTCGCTCACCACAGCAGCTTCAGTCTGAGTTCATGTTTTCCATTGACTGAGGAGAATTAAAACATAAAGGACGTCTAAATTATTTGTGCGTCGTGCTCTATGGTGTCAAGACGTTTGCGTGCCGTTAGAGCAGACGTTTAGAACCCAGAGTCAGACCAAACTCTGCCTAATTTGAGCGAGATATGAGATCAGGAACTGCAGGGGAACTGGGAGGAAAGAACTAATTGCTAGCGATTTCGTGACGCCTCCACTGATGGGCCAAAACATTAATCAACAGCATGCTAATTCCAGGAGTAGCAAGCTGAAGAAAACGATAACAGATTTTTTTAGGTGGCTATCACTTATGTCGTTTCAACCATGACAACCAGCAGTCGAGTACGTTCAGAAGTCAGATCTACCACATTGACATTCTGAGGGAAAGCTAGAAAATTGATGTAGTTTTTACACACGAACTAACAGTTGCGAAGTCTCCCCCGCAATCTAAATCACCAGCCTGTAAGGCCATGTGCGACTTCCTGCAAAGATACACTAATCTCGGTGGATCCCCAGTTTCGGCGGCAGTCCTGTCGTCAGTTGCTGGCGGCCCACGGGTCGAGGGCGCCGTCCCGGGGAGCGTGCCACTTGGGGTGGCCGGCCGGGCCGAGGAGGGCGCGGTGGCGCCCGGACCTGTCCGCTATATATTCGCCCCCGCCGTCCCGGGGTGCACGTACGACGCCGACGCGCCACCGCCAGCGCGGACACAGGCGTCTCTGAACTCCCGTCGGCCGTCAGCCGACGCGCCACCGCCAGCGCGGACACGGGCGTCTCTGAATTTCCGTCGGCCGTCGCCATGGTGTCCGGCTTTGGCTTGCGTGTGATGGTGCTGACAACAGCGGCAGCCGTCGTCACCGCCGGATGTCCAAACTCAGAATGGAAGCAGTACGGGAGCAAGTGCTACTGGATGTCGGACTTCAAGCTGTTCGGCCACTCTGTGGGCACTGCTTGCAGGAGCATGATGCCAAACGCTAATGCGGTGTCTATTCATGACCTGGACGTTGACTTGTTCATTGCCGAGGAGTTAACCGGCGGAACTTGGACCTGGCTGGGCCTTCATCGACCTGACGAAGATGCAGACTGGGCGTGGGAAGACGGATCTCCGGTAGACTTCTTCCTGTGGTTTGAGGATGATCCGAACGCACGCGGGGATGGCATATGTGTAAGCATCAACTATTTGGGCAACATCGGTTTTTGGACCGATGAGGTTTGTGACGAATACGACCATTACTTTGCCTGCCAGGTCGCAGCTACCTAGCATATGCAGTAACTCATACTGCACGCAGAGGGTTCGGCCTCAGCTGGACATCGCCCGGCGTCTCGGCTTCAAGGACATCTCTTTTGTTTTGGCTGGATTCCTGAGTAAATCCAGTGCAATTTAATAAAATTTGGGTGCATGCAAAACAATATTTGTTTGTCAAGATTGCGTGACAACACACAAACACTGAACCGGATATACACAAAAACGAATCCAAACGCCGGCTATACCAGACGAAAGTAGAAGGTGGATGCAGTCATATCTGCGCCAAATCATGTAGCCAAAGGCCAAAGACCACGGATTATTTACGTCTTGAAAACAATATCCACAACCGAAATAAACATACACACAGTTTGTAAAGGTGCTTGTGTAATGTGTGTGGATGCTCACAACCAAGTGGTGGAGCCTAAATATTGATGCACGTAAGCTCGAAACTACAATATACTGCGATCGATACCATACCACCGTTGCTGATATATGCAACTAGGACTCCATGTGAGCACAGAACAATGTCCTTAAATTTTAGTACCCCAGTGCTCGAGAAGGTATGCTTGAAGTAAGTGCCTCCTTAAAATCATGTGCGTTTCCCCAGTCTCGTTATGTATCGCCGAGCGGAGGGCCTGGCCCGGCCCCCTCCGTCAGACGCAGACACGTACCGTGGACCGGAGCGGCGAGTGGGTACGCGCCCTCAGCAGGTGCTCACGGAGGAACTGGGCCCGCTGGTCGTCCGGGACGGCCGTCAGGGCGGGCACCTCGGCCGTCAGAGCGGCGGCGCGGTCCGGGCTGCCGGGCGGACACACGGCCGGCACCAGACTGAGCAGCTGCGGACAGGACGGTAACCATCAGTGTACCGCGAACACACCAGACTGAGCAGCTGCGGACAGGACGGTACACAGTCAGTGTACTGCGGACACACAGCCGGCACCAGACTGAGCAGCTGCGGACAGGACGGAGCACAACGTCAGTGTACTGCGGACACACAACGGTACCAGACTGAGCAGCTGCGGACAGGACGGTAACCATCAGTGTACCGCGAACACACCAGACTGAGCAGCTGCGGACAGGACGGAGCACAACGTCAGTGTACTGCGGACACAGTACGGCCGGCACCAGACTGAGCAGCTGCGGACAGGACGGTACACAGTCAGTGTACTGCGGACACAATACGGCCGGCACCAGACTGAGCAGCTGCGGACAGGACGGTAACCATCAGTGTACCGCGAACACACCAGACTGAGCAGCTGCGGACAGGACGGTAGATGACAGTGTACTGCGGACACACAACGGTACCAGACTGAGCAGCTGCGGACAGGACGGTACACAGTCAGTGTACTACGGACACACAACGGTACCAGACTGAGCAGCTGGGGACAGGACGGAGCACAAACTCAGTGTACTGCGGGTACACCACACTCAGCAACTGGGGACACACGATGGCAGACACAGCAGCTCTGGACACAATACGTTAGATCGCATCAGTTTAGACACCCATATTTATTATTGAAGTAAAACATTATCCTACAACAGGCAGCACATTATTCATAGCTGAATCAATGGTGAACACAGTGATCAAGATTGATTCATCTGAAATAAGCCAACGCTTACACACTAACGCATTAAATTGACATTCGCCACAGACAGCGCACTACTATCTCCGCCTTGTCTTCGAAGCACCTGTGCCTCTCGACATCACAGCCCGCCCCATTACGCGCCCTGTATCAGCTCCCCGGCGATGGCTGTAGGAGGGGGGGGGGGGGGGGGGGGGGCGGCCCACCTGCGCCGGCTCCAGGTCCGAGCGCAGCAGCAGCTCGGAGGCGCGCCGCGTCTGGCCGGCCGCCAGCAGCGACAGACCGATCAGACGGCAGAGCGGCGCGGCGGCGGACGGGTCGGCGGCCGCGGACCCGTCCAGCAGACTGACGGCCGCCTCCAGGTCACCGGAGCGCACCAGCGCCTGCGACCGAGGGACGGGGTCAGACGGCGGGTCACAGGGCAGGTCACCGGGCAGGTCACCGGGCAGGTCACCGGAGCGCAACAGCGCCTGCGGACGGAACGCGTCAAAGGGCAAGTCAGAGGATAGGCTACCAACCGAAGTAGAGCCACGGTCAGGGTCACGGGTATGGTCGCGATGCAAGCTATGTGACTGGAACACATCTGAGAAAGTCTCAACTTAGTTCGGAAAATAGTGCCACGAATAAAACACAGCACCATATGCGATGTGTTTCACGGCAAGTGAAAACTCCAGGAAACTCCCGTGTGGGCCCTCAATGCTGTCCCATCACTCAAGGAAATTCAGCCTTGTCCCAAGCCAGTCCAAGCGCCACCTTGCACCACAGTCTTAACAGCTGCTGTACGCAGTTACATACGCTGGCTCCACTAAGGGTCCCCACTGACCTTGACCTGTTCATGCCAGGGCACGGGGCAGAGTGAGAGCACCGTGGAGCCGGCGCACACCAGCAGCGTGCCGTCAAAGTTGTCCAGCAGCGCCGGCTCGGGCACGGCCAGCTCCTGGCGCAGCTGGTCGTCCACCACACTGAGGGGCACAGGGGTGGAAACGAGCTGCGTCAACCCTTGTCCACCACACTGAGGGGCACGGGGGTGGAAACGAGCTGCGTCAACGCTGTCACAAAATTCTGTCAACAGTCGGTTATCCTGGAGCAAGTCGTACTAACTAGCAGGGAAGCCAGGGATGATATTCCTGGTTCTACTGATCCCACTGACATTGTAGTGCTAACCTCACAGATCGACTGATGTGCCCCGATGCTGCACCCACCTGATCAGTGTGATGCCGGCGCTGTCTGATGTGATGATGTAGGGGTGCTGGTACGTCCAGTGACTGACGCCCGGTTTCAGCTGGACCGGCGGACGCTGGGAGGTCCCCGTCACCAGCGCAAACATGGCCAGGTCGGCCGGACCCAGCACCAGAAACTCCTCCTGCGGACGCAGACAACAGACTGATCACGGAACCAGACCGAGTATTCGACTGTCCGAGAAACGGCAGAGCATTCAACCCTCCACCGCAGCAGACGTAAAAGGAACCGCTACTGCGGAAATACATGTCACCTAATGACCTGTTTTGGCTAAAAACTGGCAATTGTTGTCTTGAGAAATAAGAAATAACAGCGGAAAATCGACATGAGTAAAAAAATATACCATTTGTCCACGAGAAGCTTACGTCACCCCTTCGAGCAGCCCCACCGGTTACACCTCCCGCCTCCCCGCTCCCAGTTCCGCTCACCTTCCGTACGCTGCGCACCATCGGCCGCACCAGGGTCGGGTCGTACTCGAACAGCGGCTGGGTGCGGCCGCTCGACACGCGGTACACCAGGTAGTGGCCGGCGGCGGCAGCGCACACGGCGTCTCCGCTGATGGCCAGCGCGCGCACCCGGTCCGGCGCGGCCAGCTCGCGCACCGTGTGCAGACCAGAGGAGGTGACGTTCAGCACCAGTAGCTGCCGCCGGCGGGCGATACACACCTGCGGGATGGACAGACGAAGAGATACAGACCTAAGGCGGGCGATACACACCTGCGGGACGGACAGACGGAGATACAGACCTGTAGAACGTGCAGACGGAGATACAGACCTGGGGGACGACAGATGGAGAGATGCAGATCATAGGCGTCGCCAGAGATTTTCGGTTGGGGGGGCAAAATCAACTTTTGTGTTAAATCTTGCCTTTCCCCAGTCGTTACTCACTCGTTTTACATATCGTTCGACGCGCAATGGTGCGAAGAATTCGATGGCGACAAAGTTTTCCTTCTAGCTATGACATGCAACTTTTTTACAGAGAAATTCGAAATTTTCAAATTTCTGGACAAAAACGACCGGTAGAATTACAGTGCCGACGCACTGCAGAGGGCCCTTGTGCAGACTCTCGTCGCTCATGATCATTACCCAGAAAAAGGTGACAAACGCTCCATTTAATCCGATCACCCTGCTAAAACCTCCATTCACGCATGCATGCAGAGGTTTTACGTGAAATGCATAGGGCTTATCCCAGCCGCCGATTGTAGCGAAGTTGGGCATTCGCCGGAGACTGAGAGTGAATCTCGGAAGTGTGAATCGGAAATAATTCATCTTTGCTCCAGTGAGAGGAAGTGTTTTGTTCACTCGAGTGTGAACAAAACGTTTCTTGTTTTTCGTGTGGAGGGAAGCGCTGCAAACGTGAACAAAAAATGTTTAACGGAACCAAACGTTACGCACGGCATAGCGGCAAGGGATCCCTTAGAGATAGGCTTGGGACTTCCAAGCCATTTCAGGCCACTCATGATCAGTGTGGACTCTCAGAAGCCTGCTTAGGACACCTGAGATCGGCGTGGGTCATCCCAAATATTTACGTGTATGTGGTGCTTTGGGGCTTTCCGAGCCCAAGGTGGGACCCACAGAAGCCAGTGTAGTCGGCGGGCGCTAAGAGACTGGGCCCAGGGTAAGCCTGGAGCCCTCGGATAACAGTGTGAACCGTCGCGGTCTGTGTCGAATCCCTTAACCCGCGCCCCACTGGGGTCTGCGTATAACACGCCCTACTGGGGGGGGGGGGGGGCTATTCATAGCCCCCCCTCCTAACTCCGAAACTACTGGGCCGATCGTCAAAATTCAAACGGCGTCTGATAGCCTTGGAAAAACTGTCGAGCGAAACCTAATTTCATTGACCTCGAGGTCACCGATGACGTCACAGGTCAGGTCAAAGTAAAAATTATTAGCATTTTGGCTTCTTCACGTTTTGGGCTCTGGTCGCCGTCTTACAAGTCAGATCAGGCTCATTTTTGGTTCACACACTCGTGAACAGATGCTCTAGATACTCTGAGGGTACCAAACTTGTACTTTGATTTTCAGGTCAAGGTCAGGTCATCACAGGTCACGAAAATATTATATCATCCGTCGGTCACGTGACACATGTTTTATGGTCCATTTAGGTCAGAGATTTCGAATTTGATGTCGTCTGTGTCATTCGAGGTCATTTTGAGTCAAATTTAGCTCAGGTCAGGTCACTTTCAGGTCAAAAAAGGTCAAATTTTGAAGTTAAAATTTTTCAACACAAAAGGTGTCTATTGGATGCAGTTTGAGCTCAGGAGCACGATGGTGCTATTTATATTGGCGTACGATGTCAAATTCATGCTGAAAAATTGATTTGAAAAATTAATAATTGTTAATTTTTTGCAATAATGCGTATAACTTGGCCATTTTTGAAGATATTTAGCTAAAACTTGCTAGAGTTGGTCATAATAATGCGTTCTATCACATATATTCCGGTTTTTCGAAAAGTCAATAAATTTTTGAAAAAAATGTAAAAATATAAGTTTTGAGTTTTATTATATAAAATTTCCGAATTTTTTAGAAATTCGAAAATCCGAGATAGCAGTTTGATAGTGCAGTCTATTCTGAGTCCTCTCATGCAAAGAAATTGGATCTAGCTTAAAAACTGAGCTCTTGGGAGCGATTGCCGTGGTTCAATGTTTTGCGTCGAAATCGGCCGAACATGACGTCACTCTGACGTCATTTCCGGCCGACTATGGTAGGTAAGAAGTTCAAATTTTGACACAAGGTGTCAAATTGATGCAGCCAAAGGTACTGAAAGTTTGGCGTTGATACGTCAAGCGGTTTGGAAGTTATTGCAGAAAAACGGGAGGGGGGGCTATAAATAGCCCCCCCAGTGGGGCGCGGGTTAAGACCCTACGTAGGGACATAAGAAACATGTGTTGCCGCCCTCAGAGGTGCACGTTAGTTGTGATCCCTCAGATGCCGGCTTGGGGTTGACCGAAAATCTGTCGCTGAAAAGTTCGACTGAACTATCCGAGGCCAATTAAGGTTCTCAGAAATTTTCGAAGGCATCCTCAAAGATTCGTGTGTCCCTTCAGAGGTTTACATAATGTATAAGGTCCTCAAAGATCCCTGTAACGATCCCTCAAAGATCCCTGTTATGGGCCCTCAGAGAGCATGGACACCAGTGGGACTTTCAGAGGCCGGTTTGGGCCCTCTGAAAGCTTCTTCAGGGCTCAGTGGAGCTCCTTAGGAGCCTGTGTGAAAAGCAAGCTCATGAGCCCTGCGGCACTTGAACGGTAGTTGAGCCTGTCACAGACATTTGGCGAGAGTTGAGAAAGGCCGCGAAGATTTCGTGTCACGCTTTGAACGAAAATTATGTGTCAGTAGGCTCCAAAACTTATTAAAACCAGCTATAAAATGTAATAAAGAACCAACTAGGAACATGGAATGAATCACAGCATTGGCATTTCTGAGTCTGGAGTCGGAGTCTTGAAGATTTTTGGCGACTGCGACTCTGACTCTTGTTTGAACTGCACGCTCCAGCCGAGTCTGACCTCACAGACATTTTCCGAAAGGTACCCCCATTTTTTCCCGACTCGAAAATCTCATCGGATCTGCATCGATCTCAGGGGGTGCCCGGTCCGAGGTTGGGGGGGCAAGCTGCCCCGCTTGCCCCCCCGTGGCGACGCTAATGATGCAGATTATAAACGGACAACAGAGATACACACCTGAGAAACGGACAGAGATGCAGACTTGAGAAACGGACAGATGCAGAGATACAGACCTGTGGCAGCCGATAAAGACCCGAGAAACGGACCAACCGACGGCGGGGCTGAGAGCCATTCAGGGGGGATATAGACAACCTGCGGTCGGCACTGCTGGGAGGAAACGGGAGAGGCCATGTCCATCCCCAAGAAAGTCAGTCGGTCGTCGATACCTACCTATATGGAGAAGAGGTCTTCCGTACCTGTATGGAGAAGGGGTCGTCGGTGCGCGGGCGGGTCTTCCGTACCTGTATGGAGAAGGGGTCGTCGGTGCGCGGGCGGGTCTTCCGTACCTGTATGGAGAAGGGGTCGTCGGTGCGCGGGCGGGGCGTCCGTACCTGTACGGAGAAGGGGTCGTTCGTACCTGTATGGAGAAGGGGTCGTCGGTGCGCGGGTCCGGGTTGGCGGCCAGCGCCGTGACGCCACGGTGCCGCACGTAGCCGTCGACGGGCGTCAGCGCGCCGGCGTGCAGTGTCACCAGGGTCTCCTCTGCCAACACCAGCAGCAGCTCCAGAGCCGAGGCCAGGCAGAGGCCCGTCACCGGCGCCTGCCGCGCACAGACACACAGTCAACTGGCGGCCGGTGGACAGAGGAGAGTCGAGACACAGACAGCTGGCGGACGGTGGACAGAGGAGAGTCGAGACACACAGACAGCTGGCGGCCGGTGGACAGAGGAGAGTCGGGACACACAGTCAGCTGGCGGCCGGTGGACAGAGGAGAGTCGGGACACACAGTCAGCTGGCGGCCGGTGGACAGAGGAGAGTCGAGACACACAGACAGCTGGCGGCCGGTGGACAGAGGAGAGTCGGGACACACAGTCAGCTGGCGGCCGGTGGACAGAGGAGAGTCGAGACACAGTCAGCTGGCGGCCGGTGGACAGAGGAGAGTCGAGACACACAGACAGCTGGCGGCCAGTGGACAGAGGAGAGTCGAGACTCACAGACAGCAGCTGATGAATGGCAGATGTATGGGAATCAAGACATTATTAGACCAGCTGACACACAGGACACAGAACAAAATAACTGCATGAGTCTGCAAGCGAGGGTGTCAGGTGGGCAAAAATAGTCACAGTAGTGCACTGCTGGCACAGATAGGTGCATCTCATAAGGAGGCACCAATGCCAGCTGTTATGTCCCCTCACTGACCGTGCTGGCTGGCTGGAAGTTGATGAGCGCGCTGGACGGTGGTGCAGTCCTGTCATGTTTGTCCACCTGGTACTGGTAGTGCAGCACCAGGCCAGAGGTGGTGCCGAGGAACAGGTCAGCACCGCCCGCCTCCACCGCGCTCACCTGGACAGAGAGTGGTGAGATCACACAGAGGTCAGCCAGCATGGGAGCATGTGGACAGGCCCAGTGAGCCTGGTGCTGTATGAATGTGAAGGGACCAATAACCTGGCCAGTCACACTGGTGAAGGTATATGGGATGGATGTAGTCAAAAAGTATGGCAGTGTGTGAGCAGGAAGTCACAACTGCTGTGTGCATGCAGATTGCAGAATCCTGTTGATTGTGGAATTAAAGACAATTTGTTTGTCATTTTGATTCATCATTATTTGGAATATACAAATGCACATGCAGTAAGGATACCTACTCTTATCAACACCTCTTATATACTCTTATCAAAGAAGCATTAACATAAAAAACTGTTGAAGAAAAACTAATAGGTAGATACAAGTTGGCACTTTTATCACAGCAACCTACCTTAAGGGATGGATCACCAACATCATGAGCAACACTGGTTATGACAGGCACAAGGTCAAATGCTCGAAAGGGCATCCTTATTTACGTTTCTTCGTATTTTTTTTGCCACTTCAACTTTCTGAAACAAAGTCACATTTTTATGAATACAATAGTGAAAATTAACAATTATACCTGGTACTGGGGTACCTACCTAAATGAAGAATAAGCCCATTTTCACTTTAGGAAAAACTATTGATTCAACTATAATATTTCAGAAGTTTGAGTTAGTAGGTAGGTCAGGCATCAGTATTGTTTTATAGGTGTGGGCTTCGTAAATCTGAGAATAACCTTTCATCTGAATTCTGACTTTTTTCATCATGCACTAGGTACAAACCTACATGTTGATGTGTGACATGCACGGAAATTATAGGGTTTGCAAAAACAATCCACGTTTACGTCAACGTTGCATGAAATTTAGACTCGTCGACGTCAACGTGAACCGAAACCGTGGACAAGCGAACTTGAACTTGAACTGGAAGAGATAAAGACGGATTCAGCTAATGATAATGGACCAAACGAGTTTTCTATTCACTTCAACTTCGCCCACTCCAGCGTCCGTCAACTAACACCAGTGATCCAAAACAATCGGAGGAACTCGAGAAATAATGCTAGAGGCAAGCTAGAGGGAGGGGAAGGGGAGGGTACACCATACGCAGACATCCAACGCCACCTATAAACAAGCTCCCACGTCATCTGTGCCCTAGAGGACGCCACCAGCCGGGCTGCGTTCTTATATTCGGCACAGAGCCTCAGCACACAGCATGGTAGGTACTTGGGTAGGTATTCTTTTTTTTCTCGACAAAACCGAGAATAACGCGAAAACTATGCTATCGCTCACTCGGAAATTATAATGGTAAGACGCACGAGACTCCGCACCTCAGATTGGCAATATCCAACCTATAGGTAGGTACCTAAGAAACGCAATATTCATTTTCCATCCAGTTTGGCAATTCAAAACCCAAGTTTATATTTGCCCCAAAACAATTTAAAGGGACCCTCCCACCTTCAAAAAAGTTAATGAATTGGCACGAAAGTGATGTCGCTCGGTTCAGAAAGAGCGAAAACGAATATCTACTAAATTTCATCGAAAAATATTCACCGGTTTTCAAGATATTAGACTTTTACTTTTGTTTACTTTTTGGGATCTCCGCTGTTCCTAGCGACTTTATTTGAAAGTGCGGCATTTGTTGCGCGCAAAGCAGCATATACCACCGCGTGCTACCAAACGTTTTAGTAAAAGATTTAAAAATCGTTAGATCTCCGCTGACGTCACAAATTCTAAGGGGGCATACCAATGCACTAGCCCCTTAGAATCCGAAAACTGCAAGTTTGAAATTCCATATCTCCGAATTAAAGCATTTGTCGATGTTGTGAGTGCCCAAACCGGTATTTGCAGGCCATGGCCACCAATTTGGCTATTTCAACTCAAAACTAATGTTAAGGTGGGAGTGTCCCTTTAACTGGTTTTAACAACATTTTAGAAGGTGGGATAGTCCCTTTAATTTTGTTGCCACGCAAGGCCCATACGTTGTTTAGTGATAGACGAAGGAGTGGAGCATGGCGCAACTATTTGCAGGGAATTCCGACCGACATGATAGCATACCTATATCCCAGGGCCTATTTTAACATGTTAACTGGGGGGGGGGGGGCAAATGCCCCCTCACTCAACAGAAATGCCCCCCCAGTCGTCGAGATTTGCCCACTATAAAAATGGACATAAAGGAATAGGGTGACAAACATACTACTGTGACTTGTTTTGCAATGGATGTCAAATGAGTCAATCTGCAAGTAATGACCAGTGGTGGATCCAAGGGTGGGTCATATGGGTCATGACCCCCCGCCCTCTTGGGGCCCGGGGACATCACAGGCCTGCCAGGGGCACCACCCGCCTGTCAGGGACACCACAGGCCTGTTGGGAGCACCATCGACCCAGCAAGAGCACCATAGGTCTGCCAGGGGCACCACAGACCTGCCAGGGGCCCCACCGACCTCGCAGGGGCACCTTGGGCCTGTCAGGGGCACCACTGGCCTGTCGGGGGCACCACAGGCCTGTCAGGAGCACCATCAGCCTAGCAAGAGCACCATAGGTCTGCCAGGGGCACCACAGACCTGCTAGGGGCCCCACCGGACTCGCAGGGACACCACCTTGGGTCTGTCTGAGGGGTATTTACCACCACAGGCCCGCCAGGGGCACCACAGGCCTGCCAGAGGCATCACAGGCCTAGCAAGTGCACCACGGACCTGTCAGCGGCACCACGGGTCTGTCGGGGGCACCTCAGGCTTGTCAGGCCCAAGGGACACCACAGTCCTTTCAGGGGCACCACAGGCCTGTCAGGGGGACCAGAGGCCTAGCAGGGACACCACATGCCTGGCAGGGGCACCACCAGCCTCGCAGGGACACCTTGGGCCTGTTAGTGGCACCACGTGCCTGTCGGGGACACTCCAGGCTTGTCAGGAGCACCACAGTCCTGTCAGGGCCCAGGGGCACCAGCGGCCTAGCAGAGGCACCACCGGCCTAGCAGGGACACCACCGGCCTCGCAAGGGCATCATGGGCCTGTCAGGGGCACAACGGGCCTGTCGTTGGAACTTCAGGCTTGTCTGAAGCTGACTTCACCTGTCATTGGGTTTTTACCTGTTGGTGATCAATACATCATACAATCATACAATCAGGGGCACCACAGTTCTTTCAGATGCACCGGCTGCCTAGCACCATGGCACCATGTTTGGCCGGGATCGCGATTCGGCGTATGTCGCCTCGCATTAGCCGCGCGTTTGCAGTCTTTTCGTGGTTTCAAACGTTCAAACATGGGATATGATGTTGCTCCCATGCATTAGGGTGGGTGTCAAGGTCACCGGAAGGTCAGGTCATTTACCTTTGATGACCTCGGTTCACATTTTCGAGTTTTATATGTTTCTAGGCTAGTTTTTGGAGCTGAATTCGAATTTAGCAACCATTTGACCGTTTACAAAGTAGTTTTGGTGCCTTTGTAACATGTTACGAAGCTGTCAGACGCGGTTGCCACCTACTACGAATACCCGACAAAACCCTTACTGGTTGAACTGACCTGACATGACCCGACCTGGCCTAAATGCATGAAGACATCATCTATGATCATAACTAACATGACATTCGTGATCAGCACCACGAAAACAAACATAGCAGCCACCCTTTACGACGCTCTAACAGGTCCCGATTTTTCCGACTTTTGGGTCATTGACCTGACCTGGAAGGTGAACCGATGACCTAGGACCTTAAAATTGGGTATCATCTGCTTCCTCTCGTGACGGGCAACATGCTAGTTTTTTCCGCGAAGCTCTAGCTCGATCAGGGGCGAAACGGCAAGGGAGAGGGTCCAACGGACCCCCCCCCCCCCCATATACGTTCGCAGCTTGAAAAACACCACTACGGGCGAGGGTTAATGGATTATTAAAGACAATTTTCCAGGTTGCCCCCCCCCCAGTCAAATTCCCTTAAAATAGGCTCTGCTATATCCTTCGAGTTAGTATTGGTTTTGTCGAAAAAAAATAATGCCTACCTATACCACACAGTCTGCTGAGGGCTATACATACCCGGCCGTCAGACACATTTCTTTCATTGGTGCTTCTTGAAATGGCTCGAGACGACCTCCTTTTTAAATACGCATGCAGCCAAATATTTGAAAAATCCAATCTCATATCGGCTCTGAGCGGTCCCTGAGCGAGATAGAGTGTATGGCCTGAATGGCCTGAATGAATGGCCCAGATGCCCGTTTTACTGAGCCTGCTGAGATCAGGGAGGGCGAAAGATCTTGAAGTGTAGGACTTAGAGTGTGCATTTTCTTGTTTTGTGACACTTGGAGGCTGGAGCTGGTCTCGGCCGGAAGTTAGGTACCTACCCTACCTATGCTATCCTGTCGGTAAGTGCTAAATCAGGACGTCATACTGCGACCTTGGGCGAGCGCATCGTCCATTATCCGGCTTCAACAGGCCAGGCACAGCTGGCAGTTTTCGGCGGGCAATTTCGTAGAAAAGGCGCCGCCATCGATTCAGAAACCGACGCTTCTTTTAAGGCACTATCAAAGGTGTTGACCCATAGCACACTTTCTATCAGGTTTACGTCATCATAGGACCTGCACAGTAGGCGACCTTGCAAGGTCCTGATCATGCAAGAAAAGGAGCTAGATGTAGCGTTTGGCCAGCCCAGCTCGTCAGCAATTATCCTCAACTGTAGCAGTGTGGTCTAGTCCGCAAGCAGGAACTGGATCAAAGTTCGAAGCCCTCTTGCGGTGCTTCAACCGATAACAGACGGGCTTACATATAGTGAGGAGTGACGTTACTCGCTCATCCAGGCTGCCGAACAATCCAGGGTCAGACACCATGTTTGTTTGCTTATTGGGGCTTAAGGGCACGCCGACTACAAGGTCATTTTGTGCCAATCGGTCAGACAGCATGAATATGAAACACATTACTGAAACCTGGACTGCCTGAATGCTTCGTATGCAGGGTACGGAAGGATACAACATCCCCTTGAATTGGAATAGCTATGCATAAGACCCTTACTTCTAATGGTCAAACTTCGGTCGGCGATCACAACAAACCCAACCAATAAAACAGCGTCTCCCTACCGTTGATGCCACAAAGCCATTTAGCATAACATAATTAAAACACATTTGTGGTATTCACCCTTTTATTTTCCAGCCGTAATCGTGTAGTCTGAAGACCGATACAGCCGGTAGCGTACGTCTCCATCATTGTCATCAGGCGACAGGCGTGCGCGAGTGGCCGGCGCCCGGCCGTTACACCTTTTTCACGATCTGCACCACGTCCTCGTCGCAGAGCACGTGCTCCTTGCCGACCTTTTGCGGCTGGTGCTTCACCGACTCGCCCCAGACCAGGGCGTACTTGAACTCCTTAATGATGGTCCGATGGATCTTGTTGCAGAAGTCTTCCACCGTGTGCTTTGAGCGAGAAAGCACCACTGGGGTTTCATAGTCTGGCAGCTGGCCTTTGGGCTTTGTGTATAGCCTGAGAAGCTGAAGGTAGTCCCACATTTTCTCCAGCAGGTCGTCAAAGTTCCATTTGTGATGGGCGGAGATGGGGACACAGTGCGGGACTTTGTAGATGATGTCCAGTTCCTCCACGCTGATCTGATCGATCTTGTTGAGCAGGTAGATGCAGGGGATGTAGACACGGTTTCCCTCAATGATGTCAATGAGGTCATCAGTAGTGGCATCACAGCGCAGGGTGATGTCAGCATTGTGGATCTTGTACTCATTGAGGATGGACTTGACCAGATCGAGATCCAGCTCTGACTGAGGCACCATAGCCTGGAAATTCAGCCCACCCTTCTCCTTCTTGCGGAACACTATGTTGGGAGGCTCCTTGTTCAACCTGATACCAAAGCCTTCCAGCTCATGCTCGAGAAGCTTCTTGTGTTGTAGTGGCTTGAGGCAGTCAAGCACTATGAAGATGAGGGAGCAGGTTCGTGCCACAGCAATCACTTGGCGACCTCGTCCTTTACCATCTTTTGCACCTTCAATGATACCAGGCAGATCAAGAAGCTGTATTTTTGCTCCTTTATACTTGATACAGCCAGGCACTGTAGTCAAAGTTGTGAACTCATAAGCAGCAACTTCGGAATAGACACCTGCTAAGTTGCTTAGCAGGGTGGACTTGCCAACAGATGGGAATCCAACAAATCCAACCCGAGCATCGCCAGTCTTGCTGACATCAAAACCTTCACCAGTGCCACCTCCACTTGATTTTGGGGTGATGAGCTCGCGGCGGAGCTTAGCAAGCTTGGCTTTAAGCAGGCCCAGATGGCCACTGGTGGCCTTATTTTTCTGTGTCCTGGCCATCTCATTTTCAATATCCGCGATTTTCTCTAGGATCGACATGGTTGTTCTGTTGTTGTCAGTTTCGCCGAGAAAATTGACAAAGTCTTAATTTCAGCCGGTAAAGAACAAAGTCACGGTACTATTCACCTATGCTATTCACCAGGTTTTGCGATATATCGTTCTTGATTTGACAGTTAAATCTTAATTCACTTATTTACATGAGCCACATCAAACATATGCACCCAACACGAATAAACTCCGCATTCAATTTGGTACCAACTGCGCCATATATGCAGCAAAACAGTGAAAGGCTTACGTAAACCTGTTCAATAACGCAATATTCCGTTGTAATATCTCCTGGGTTTCCATGGTAATCAGCTGTTAAGTTGATTAAACCACGGTAAACGGTAAAAATGGGGAACAGGTGCATCGAAGTTTACAAAACCTGAACATGATCACATTTCAACTTATTACACATTCAATGCGAATGTGCAGGATAAATGTCATTTATACATTAACCCGGTTTACATAGCATTTTTGACGAGGCTCTAGCTCGTTAATTTGGCGATAATTTCGATGCAGTGGTCTTCAAATATTTAGAGGGGATCATTTTGTAAATTGTTAAGCACCATTGGCATCTTTTGCAACATCACGGACGGAGATATAAGCTTGCAACAAACCCTATGTAAACGCGTCTATTGTCCTGGTAGGTAATCACCAGTAATCACCAGCACTGATTACCCCTGAGTACCGAACACGACTATGTAGTTGGCTCGATCGGCTATAGATGTCGCACTAGTCTTTAGCTGGATTTTGCTGTCTGGGGTGAACTTTTTTATAAATGAATAATTTCGTTTTTACTGAAAAAGTTAAATAATTTACCAAAAATGCCTTATGAGCAATATACATGTGGATTAAGTTTATGTTCTTGGACTTCTTGAAGGCTTAGCGTCAGGTGCTGACCTCTATCGCAGGGTTTTTGAACTATGCTGCGCTTGAACGCCCCTAGCGGACTATATTTAAAACTTAATATAATTTAGTTATTTGTTACTAGTTACTACTTGTAAGTAATTTTTTGAGTTGTTTATGTCCAAATTTGAAATAGAAGTTAATTGTAAAGCATCTCTAAAAGAACGATTGTTCATTATTTGTAAAATTCTTTAAGTATTCTGATTTTAGCACGGATTTTAGATGCTAAGGGGTTCACTTTAGTGTGTAGCAATCATGGCTTCTGCTACGGAGTTTAGCTCCGGTAAAACCGTATTGATTCTTTCATTAGTTATTGGTTGTTTTGCTGTATTATGGCCGAAAATATTTTATCCGATGCTGCAGGCATCTATTTCATCAACAGTAGATGCGCCATACTCTCATGGTGAGTGTTAAATCGCGAATTTTATGTTTGGTTGCGTTTATGACGCACCGATGCCAAATCACTTTGCACCTTTTCTGCCTTTTATGTGTGTTTTGAGGTTAAGTGTTACACAGTTATTAGTTGCCTTTTGACATTTTATTCAAATTGTGTCAAATATAGCACTCGCTGACCTGGGAATTCTATTAATTGAAGTCTAACATTTCTGCTTTCTGGCTCTTCGGAAATCGGAATGGCAGTAGCTGGGATCAAGTTATCACTTTTCTACAGGATGTGTGGCTTAGTCCAGCTTTCCTTTGGCTATAGGCACTGGTGCTTAGGTAGGCTTGGTCATTGATGCAGGTTCTATATTTAGGTGCATAGGTAGGTACCATAGGCATATAAATATATCCTGTTGGGTTTGCTGTCATTTTGTACAAGCATCAACAATATACTCTTGAGTTATAAGTGCCATGAGCAGTTTGCATGGAATTGGAGAAGCTAGTCAGTGTTTTTCCAACATTTCAGCAATACTATGAACAGTGATTCTAGATCCTAATGTTAACATTAGAACAGTGGCTCCGGCATTTCATGTTATTACATTGTATGAAAAAGTGAACCAGTCAGTTATCAGTGGGGATTTCAGTCTGTGCTGAAAAGGTGAAACAGTGGAAGATGGGGACAACTGGTAGTTAGGCATCCATTTTCCCATGTAGTTTTCCTGCTAAAGGTAAATGTTGAGAAGCAGTTACTAGGTAGTAAAGGGTCATGGCTGTTGATTTAATAGGGAAGCGATGGTCCCTTGCAGCTGTCAGTGTACCCGCTAAAAGTTTAATGCATGGATTGCTGGAACACGCCGCCATGCTGCAGTGAAACAGCAGCCGCTGCGTGTGACACCAGTTTCAGGCGTGTACCACTCGAGCATCCTGCCATGCTGCCACCCGGTGCCGTTCACCAAGGAGCTGAACGCGCTCTACTTCACCGAGCTTTGCGACCGAGTCAAGTGGCGTGCTGGCCAGCGGCGCGCCGAGCTGCAGCTGCCGCCCGAGCCGCGAGACGACATCTGGACGCCGGGACTGGCGCGCTGGTGCCATGACGAGCTGGCGCGCACCTGCGGCGTGCGGCTGGACGAGCCGGCGCTGGAGCGCTACCGGCGCGCCGCGCACCGCCGCCACACGGCCGACGCGGCCACGGCCAACCTGACGCGCTGTCTGGAGACCAGCTACGACCTGCGGCGGGAGGACATCCGGCCGGCGCGGCTGCAGCAGCAGCGCCAGGCGGCAGCCAGTGAGCCGGCGGCCGGCGCGCCGTGTCGTGTCCCTGCGTGCCGAGCGGAACTAACCACGGCCGAGCATGTCCGATAATAGAACGTGATTGTCGATTGACTAACGAAAGAAATGCTTCCATTTCGTCGTCGAGTGGTAGCGTTCAACTACATCGGCGTAACTGAAGATGATTTACGCTACTTTACTACAAAATAGCGTGTGTCGCCTGCTAACGCTCCTGCCTAATGCTAGAACCTCTAATCACTGCCTGGGAGGATCGGATACAGAGTATATAGAACACCGATCGGATATATGTGGCTGTCTTGCAGAGTGCAGTGATACCATTACTTCTTCATCCTGCCGGAAGAAAAAGTGATGGTTTTGTTCGATGCATGAATTTAATGAGTTTCGTTCATTTATCGATTCCCATTAGCTACCATTAAATAAGCACAACGTGTAACTGGAGGCCGACTAACACATCGATCATTAATTAGCATGCCGTAAATGCCGTTGACGTTTTGTGACACCGGACAGGTCGCCAAGCCATTCATCTCCCGAGCTCGGCCTTTTCTGTCTACATCCTTGCTTCAGTTGACGTCGTGTTTAAACTATAGGTAAACATTCAAACTGAACTCATTTCAGCCCGAAAGACAGATATAGAATTTTCCCGCTTTTACATTCGGCGGTCTGATGAGATATTATTTTCACAGCCGTTTGTGCTCACTGTTACTCGCTCATGTTCCAAATGCTGTCAATGATCCTGCCTTTGATCCTGCCCAGTTTTGTTTTACGGTAACAACCCAACCGACCAGATGCCGTTTGACCAGGCTACTTCTCCCCGACACAGTGATTCTGCCGGTATGTGCTCTCAGTCTGACCGGGTTGTGTGTCCGTCCGCCCGGCAGAGTACCCCTCGCAGGAGCGGCCCCCAGGCATGCACCGGGACGCGCCCCATGCGGCGGCGGCCGCCGCGCACGGCCAGGTGCAGAATATGGCCCGCCAGCCGCGCCGGCCGGGCGACAGGATGGCCAGGGTCAGTACCAGCAACAGTGCGAGATCCACGAGAACTAGTGTAGTCAGTACCAGTTCTAGTACGATATCCATGAGAATCAGTGACAGTTTGTAGAAACGAGAGCCCATGCTTATTGTTAGTATGCTTCGTGCCTTGCGTACGTATTTGAGAAATTACCTTTTATTGCGTCTGCATCAATGCGTAAAGTACATGCTGACATCCTCGTAAATAATCTTTGTTAACAGTATGTGAATATGGACGCGAAATGGCCGTTGTATCTGAGGATTTATAGAGCCGTAGTCAGTGGGAAACAAAATCTTTACGGTCAAATTGCTTGCACATCTAAACTCACTCGTTTTATCCCGGCAGCCCGGCGGTCCCGGCGGGGTACGACCCGGGATGCCCGGAGGCGGCTTCGGCGGCTACACGGCTCCCCAAGCCAAGGGCAGCGGCGCCATGGGCATCATTATGCCAATCTACACCGTCGGCATCGTCATATTCTTCGTGTACACCATCATGAGGGTGAGTTGACGGCATGCTCGCGGCGGTTAGACTGTGGTGAGATGAGGTGAGAGCGGAAGGTGAGGTGAGCGTTGAATGGAGAGACTAGCGAGGTGAGCTGACAGCGGTCGATCGGGTTTTGGTGTGCTGGCGATTGATAGGGCCTCCGAGCTCCATGTCAACCGGAGACAGCACTTCAATCGAGACTGCCAAACCAATACCAAACGAATAGCACCCCACTGTTAGCTGCTCTGTCGTTCGCCGTTCGCGCTCGTCTTCCATTCTCGTCCTATTGTGACCGACCTGCACCGTGCCCCGGTCTGAGAGGGGCCGGGTGACTGATATCTGGCACGAGCCACGTAAACATCAACCGAGGACCGTCCGGCGCGGCTGCCCGGACGCGCGGTATGGAACAACAGTCCGGCTCAGTACCAGCTCTAGGGAGGGCGGCTGCTGTCCGCAGCGTTACCACTGCCAACAAAGATCACCTGGCAGTCACTGCCAGAGGAGGAGCATCTCCACTGTGGAGATGAACGCTGTTGCAATTTCAAAACGTGAGACGACGGAATTACCGAAAACGATGATTTATGGCCTCTGTAAATCCGTGGTGGCCAGGAAAATGTCCGTATCTCGTCACAGCCCAACTGTCTGTTCTAAAGGAACGCTAGCTCTTCAGTAGCTCTTCAGTTATAGCTCTGAGGGTCGTCATTCCCTCTCTCGCTGCAGTCTCTGACGCCGGCGGCTGGCAGGTATCGGTCGGGTCGCTATCCCGCTCTACCGATCCACTGCAGAGATATGACCGGACGCGTGGAACCGTGCCAGGGGAGGTGGGAACTGGAGAGGAGACGGCCGGGCGGGGACCGGTCCGTCGTCACCTGCCGCTCCTGACCCGCTCTGGTGACAGACAGGTTGACTGTGGTATTTGGTGACAGATGACAGTCGCACGCTTATGACAGTTGTCGCCGTCGTACTCTGATGACATACATGGCGGCTGCCATGTTAGCGGAAGAGCACCAAAGAGGGACTGAGACCACCCAGGATGACTTTAAATGAGTGGGCTGGTTGTCACTGGCCCGCTGACAGAAGCAGGTGATGTGACAGCTAGGCAGCCACTCCAGGCTTTGCCTGCGGCGCTAGTACACAGACGAAGCGACTTGCATTCCCAGCTGTTTTTGTTTTCATTTCGTTGTTAGATGCTCCCATTTTCGACGTTTTCTAATGGGGCGAGGAGATATCCCAGCGGCCGACCTATACTGGCGGGCATCAAAGCCCTACCAACGGCGGACCGTGCCAACAAAGCGCACCGTGTACCGGCATTCCGACATTGCGATCTGTCGGCGCTGGATTTGTGTGCCCGTGGCGGACGGTCGCTCGGGCGGTACCC